CCAAAGGTTGCCAGAAATAGTTAACACACTGTTGTTAGACTCCTCCGATCGCCGGGTCGGATGCGTCTACTGCGATACTAATGGGTGCTTCGGTGTCCTGATGTGCGAGCATTGTTACTTTAGCGATCAGTTCCTTAATTGTGGAGAATGCTTTTCGTGTGGTGTCGTCCAAATTAATGGATTTCGCATTTCCACGAAGTTGGTCGGTAAGAGGTTTCATGAGTAATGCTCAATTCAGTATGAAGCGTCTATAGAAACTTACAAGGCCGATAAACGTTCGTAATTGCTTGACGCTGGTCGGTTTTGGGTAATCCAGAATGGCCGCCACTTTGGTCCTAAGAGGTCGAATGCCTTGAGCATCGATAGTGTGTCCTAGGAAGTCTAACGAGTCGGTCCCTATTCGGCATTTCTGAACGTTTACAGTTATGCCATCTTTTTGTAATCGTTCGAAAACAAGATCCAGATGCCTGAGATGTCATTCTCTGTCCGGACTTGCGATTAGGCCGATTCGTTAAGCCGGTCGTTAGGATTTGCTGGGAGAACGCTAACTTCTGCGCCAGTGTCGACGAGGTAGCGAACTCTCGTTGTCACATCTGTGACGTATAACAGACGGCTATGTTTGCCGGCTACGGTTGCCGTTAACGCGTGCCGGCTTGGAAGTTTCCCGAGTTGTTTTTCGAGTCACTCAGTTTCGTGTTGGGAAAATTGCAGGGTTTTCTGCAATTTCTGGGAAACTTTCCATACTGGTTATGATACCAGCACCAGTCGGGATTATCCGTCTCTCGTGGCCTAGAGACAGATCACTTACGTGAAATGCTTCTACGTGGGCTGTGTGAGTGATTACGGTCGTTACGAAGAATAAGATAACGCGTGAGTGTAGGACATAACTCGTATATGTCATTCTGAGTTGTGTGAGGCTTTTCTTTGACTGAAAATACCTCTGTAGTAGACGATTTCGTTATTTCCAAAATACGGTCGGCAGATGCAGCTAGCTCGTCGAAGGCGTTGTTCTGAAACGAGATCAGAACTGCTTGCACCCGTTGAGGAAGTTTGGATAAGAAAAGTTGCTTGAATAGACCTTCGTCGAAATTTCTTAGGCCTATCACTTCTCTCATTCTTTGCAACATGTCCATCGCAGAACCGTGTTGCAGGTCAATGTTATTGAAGAGTTGATCTAACCTTTGTCGATCGGTCAGGTCTCCTCTTTTAAGAATCGAGCGTCTTAAGATTTCGTAAGGTTCGAAAAAATCACTAATGAACATACTAGGTGTTACGTACCTGTTGAATTCGCGCGGTAGTGCCTTGACTACTGCGAAGAATTGTGCACGTGTGTAGATCACGCCGTGCTCGGAAAAGTCGGCTTCTGTGTAGCAAAACCAGGCTTCGATGTTGTCGGGCCAGAAAGGCATGAGTTGAAACGAAGGCGGGGACAAAGTCTTAAGCTTGAGTTCTTTGGGTGTCTGTTCAGTCATGATGAAATATGAAGTGCGATAATGAACGAGGGGAAAATATATATATATACAAGAAAAAAGTCACAATGTTTAAAAAAATAAAAAATAAGGCAATGATATATAAAAAAATTTCAAAAAGGAACAGACTCACAGTTGCAATTAAGTGTACCAGATCACGTCGGTCTCACCAATGAAGAATGACACAGGTGGTGGAGAAGATTTGTAGCTCAGGTGGATGATTTTGGTGGTGTTTTGTTCTCTGAGCTGGATGGTTTGGTCGTGGAGCTTTCATCGTTCTTCTGAACGACATCATCAGCACAAACTTCAGATAGAAGTGAAGTGTTCGAATTTCTCCATATGTGTTTCACAGCTTGTTCTGTGCACCTCGATGTTGATTGGTTCTTGTTGACCTTAAATTTATCATTGTTTACTTCTTTGTTTTGGTTGTGTCTCCCATTGGTTTGATTTTTGTTCCTATATTTATGCATGATTTTCCTGATTGGTTGATAAATTGGATTGATTTCAATATGTTTGTTGATTGCTGATTGACCTGAGTGCCAAGCTTCTAAAAATTCTCTGGTGTTTTTGGAGTTTCCTCTGTCTAAGATTTCTACATTTTCCCAATCGAATGAATGTCCGTAGTTATCCACGTGTATTGATATAAGTGAAGAGATATCATGGCGTTTGACTGCTAATTGATAAATTTAAGGTCAACAAGAACCAATCAACATCGAGGTGCACAGAACAAGCTGTGAAACACATATGGAGAAATTCGAACACTTCACTTCTATCTGAAGTTTGTGCTGATGATATATAAAAAAATTCCAAAAAGGAACAGACTCACAGTTGCAATTAGGTGTACCAGATCACGTCGGTCTCACCAATGAAGAATGACACAGGTATTCAGTGTTTGACAACGCTTCTACCAGTAACACCTTCTAATATAATTTGTACACACCGAGAGAAATCAAAAGACAGAGTCGAGGAGATCGGAAGAGTGTATTTGGAGATAACCAAAATATCGGAATTCTCTGATCTAATCTGGCTAGCGATTGCGGTTGATGTTTAGCACGGCGTTACCACACGTGATCTGGTGCGGATGCCTGACCGAGCGCCTTCAGCTAGATGAGTCCACTAAAACATATGGTCAGCATCCAATGTCGAAAACTTACAGGTCTATTTATTTTGGGGATTTATTTACCGCTACAGGTGGAATAATTCAAGCAACTCTTGAATAGACCAGCTTTGTAGAGTCGACCAGATATCGAAGCAGCACACACTGACCTTCTTATATATGTCACTCTCAATAATGAAACAAAGACTTCTGAACTGTGTGCATTTACGAATATGATTTAATAATCCGTGAATTCTGTCCAATTCACCGCATTGAATATAACATCACACCACGTTCTATCATCATTTCTCTTACATCCGATAACATTTTCAAAGTAGAATTTATTACTTCTTTGATATCAATGTAAACAACGTGTGCATTTTCTTAACAAACATATTTGTGTTGACCTCGTTTGTTTATAGAAACACTAATGATCATACTTTGTTTATCATTGATCACCTCATTCCATCTCATAATGAGATCATATGGTATTGTCTATACTCTATTCTGTCTAGTGGGTGTAATATAAATCTTAGTTAGAATAAAATATTTCGCTTCATAATAATCTGTTCATGTGACTGACAAAATGATTAGAATTCTCAAGTTATATAAGATTACTACTTCCGTTAAGGAAAATCAAGTGAAAACAATCACTGTTGTGGTATTTATTAAACTCTTGTGTCCAATCTTCATGGCATTTATTCGCTGAGGTACCTGTAGTTTCATGCTGTTCAACTGTGTGTCAGAGATCCGCATTATTGTATGGTAAGTTTGCAGCTGGCCAACACACTGGTAACAGACATATATATGTATCACATTGTATTTTAGCTACAGATAAATTCATGGAAACGGACTGCTGATTACATCTCTTATGTCAGTGGAACGATCGCCATTTGCTCGTTCATTTCGTTTGGAATCAGCAAGTGACTTCACCAAAACAGTACTATATTTTCTGCTCACTCTAAGTCGGTAAGTGGACCTCTTGGAAGGAGATCAATGCCCGAGAATTCAATCGACGAGAACATTATTGCCATTAGTAGGTCTATGATGAAGTTAAACAAAAATAGAGAAAGTGGACAACCTTCACAGACACCAATTGATGTTGCAAAATCAGATGACAGTTCGCCATAAGCTCTGACTCGACTAGTAGTTTTCGAGTAAAGAGCCTTCACAGGGTTTATGTACTTCTGATGTGAGCCTTTCAATGACAGATACTGTCACAGCACCTCTCGATCCACGGAGTCAAATGCTGCTTTTTAATCAACGAAAACTATCATCAGTACTCATTCATAAATATATACCACTCTAATCCTTAGCAAATTGATCCATTTCACAGACAATGAAATGAAAATGTCTTTCAGGTCACTTGTGATTGCCATCGGTTGATATTCGCCTTAGACTACTTCTGATTAGCTCTCCATATCAACATATCTCTTATTCATTATAGTTATCTAATTATGAAAATATGTCAGTAATTTTTTATGTAACTACAGTATTATTTCCATACAAAATCTTTTAGGAGTATTGCACAACTTTCCTAATTGGTTGGGACATGTGTTACTTATGCCCAACCACCGACCGCCCCGACGTGTGATGTTTTATGGTGTAGGAGTAGGTTGAAAGAAAACTAGAGGCGGCTAAACCAAAACATGACATGAATTCATGAAGTCACTGACAAGTTTACTGAGTCATGTTGGTAGATGTAGACTGCCTTGTTCAGATCCGCAAGACGATAGGAAATAATGGTTAGAGATCTTGAATGACATGGCTCAAAATCGTTTGCAATGATGCAAGTGCATCCACTCTTTGTGTTCTCCCAAATTCTAATCTTCTGAAATATTCCTGTCCCTTTGTTTTTTTCTCTTTTCAAATTTATTTCACTCCATTATATTCCTTGAATAGCAGTTTCAAACCCAAATGTTTCCGATTACTGCTGTTACTTTTACTACCTCTACCACTATGGGTTGAATGGACAATTGTATCTGTGTGCTGATGTGGTATAGCAACTTGAACTGATGTGCGTACTTACGTAAGTAAGAAATGGTAATTTGTTACTGACTGACTGTCTGACGGACTGAACAGTAACCATAGTAAAGTTTGTCTAATCACATTCCGAGTTTATTCGTTTGAGTTAAGAAGCTGTTGGTTCACGTAGAATCTATAGCACTACCCAATAATATTGATTTAGTCTACACTCATAAATATCTAAATAAATCAATTATTCTTCCCAGAAACATTCTACAATTAACATTAAAGAGTAAAGTTAAAATGAACACTGATACGATGGATGTCATACATACCAATGCTAATTATAATGAGATGAATGATATTTTAAGAAAACATTTATATAAAAAGAAATAAAGACGAACTTGATCTTCATGTCATAGAAATTAATTCACACAATTGTTTCTAACTACTTTTATCGATATAAGTAGTTAAATATGAATAAAATTTGATAGTAACCAATTTCTCACAGCATGTTCATGTGATTTTTTCACAGAAAATGTAGCATAATTGGGCAAATTTTCACATGAATCATCAATCTTTTCTCCATTTTCTTCAGTATTCTTTGCAGTGGTCTGTAAAAGACTCAATTCAGTTGAAGTATTTGGAAAGATTCTTTCATCAATCATATTATCATCATCATCTTCGTCGATGGGTGAACATTTGAGTTGATTTTTAACTTGTATTAGTAATGATTGAAGATGATCTAACTTCTTTCGAACTTCATCTACTTCATTTGCATCAAGACTAGATATTGAATGTGGAGATTTTTCTTTTGGAATATAAGAACATCGTGGAGACAATGGACTCATCCTATTCCTTATGTAAATTGAAGAAAAACAGAAATCATGTATGGTTGATAATGATCAAGAGAAAAACAAACACATATGAAGTTGCAACTGTTATTCAAAACTATTAAACCAAGAAATTAGGTTGCAATGCCTGTCGAGTTCATTAGGACCCAACTTTCGAAGCAGCAAGCGGAGCTTCCAAGCAACATCCTGATTAGCAAAGTCGAATTTGAATAAGTCTTCGTAACGTGGAAACCACATATCAAACGTGACATTGAATTCTGGATCGTAATGAAACTCGGAAGCACTGTTAGCGATGACGATGATGACCCCGGACATCATGTTCATCTCCACTTTATAAATATATATTTGCTACATTGTGGTAGATCGAATCGTCTTTTTTGATAGCACCCTGACCATATATGCCTCTATAGTCCTTCTAAGAAATGTTCCAGATCGATTCGTGAATATCTACAATACTGAGGTGTGAAGGCAGTTACGACCAGATAAATTTCAATTCGGAACTGTTAAGGAAATCAAACTCACAGAATCTTGTGATTTTGGTGGAATAACATGAATCTAATTACGTTAGCTGCATAACACCAATGTCTTCTGAATGATACACGAATCGAACTACTATTGAACATTTGCTTGAATACATCAATCTATTAAATGAGTGAATAGCAAAGTATCACAGTATTCAACCTGTGAAGATTTCATATATTCAAAACAAAAACCGGAATGTGTACTTCTGTGTTGATCAAACACAAAGATAACCATGTGTGATACATCATCAAGGAGATTGATGTTTGAAGTCACGAATTATGATTGAATTGTGATTCATTGGTTTATTTTCATAGGTTACATGTTAAGACTGAAAGGCTGAGTGAACAATAGCATGTAAAGAAAAGCTGTGATTGAGTCCCGAATTGTATCGACATATAGATTGTTGTATATTTATCAGAATTTCCCTAGTTAGCATAAGTCAGCAATGGGAAACACGAGTAACGTGGAATGAATAATCATACAGCCGTGATGTATACTACTTTACTCTGTCGACATAAGTAGTTTGTAACAGTGATCGGAAGTGGAAAACCAGACACCAGAAGGTTAAGAAGATCGAGTTGAAGGGAATATAAGGGAGAAAGGAGAGTGTGGACTGGAGCAGTGATGCAGAATGTGATGGACAAATGATGGAAATTCGCAAATGAAGTATTCAATGCAATGGTTGTGATATTTTATCAAGGTTGCCAAATGCCCTGGTGGTATGGCCGAGAGTGTATGTATGAATGGATGGAAATAGTTAACTATTTTAGCATTCCTAAGGTACTGTCTCAATCAATATTCATTGAATCGTAGATAAAGTGGCCTAATGAAGTAAATTATCACGGCGAGTTGTCAATTTCCAAACCCACTTCATACAAACACCACAAACCTGTATATCGCTTGCTTTGAGGAATAGGATTTGCAAAGACAATTGCGAATTCTGTCTGATTCATCGTATTGAATATAACATAACACCACGTTCTATCATCATTTCTCTTTACATCCGATAACATTTTCAAAGTAAAATTGATTACTCCTTCTTCATTCTCAGTGTAAACAACGTGTTTGTCTAATGAACAAAACATATTTGTGTTGACCTCTTCGTTGTTTATAGAATCAGCTATGATCATACTTTGTTCATCATTGATCACCTCATTGCATCTCATTAATCAATAAATAATATGGTATTCTCTATTGTGTATCGTGGGTGTCATATGAATGTTGGTTGTTGTTTATTTGGCTGACATCAAAACGGAGTGAAATTCTCATTTTGCATATTATTATTACTACTTTTCTAAAAAGAAGATGAAGTGAAAGCAAATGTTCTGGTTGTCAATTCATAGATGGTCTTGCTCCAGCTATGAATAAACACAGTAACCATTCACCGATTAATTTCAAATGATTGTAGTGGTGGTCGTTTATTCTCATAAAATCATCCAGTTTCACCTCCGTGATTTATCAATCTGTGAAATGTCCATTAATAAATTTGATTCTTTAAATGTCGACTAGTTGTCACGTCCTGTGTATCATTGGTGAAGGAGATTGTGGAGAATAATCCTGATTCAATAATCCACAACACGTTCTGTGTATCTTTTTATACCAATCACTGTGACGGATACACTCATTGTTAGCCGATATTCTGAATAAACACATTTGACTATTACCCAAGTGTATGCTTTCATTGAACAATAATTAAGGTTGGATATCATAGTTTAATGGACGTTTAATGGAATCCTATGTGTGGCTGGATTCGTTTAGGCATATCAGTTGATGTTGAAATTTGTCTTCCATTTTCTACAGAATTAAGATGGATTTACCCCATAAAGAAGCATTCTTATTACAGATGTTGGGAACGTTAGATCCCCAGAACTAACTTGGAAAAGGACCTCATCTTTAATTTTATTTAGAAAATTTGAATTTATTTGTTTTCGCGTTCTTGTCACCTTCATGTGGTATTTCCCAGTTGGGAAATATCTTAAATGCTGTTGATTCAATGCGTCTTTCAGTATGCTATTTGGTAAGTTACACCGAGGACGGTTTTGTGCTGTATACATATGTTTTGATTTATGATTATTGTTGTCGCTGGTTTCTGGCTGTTTGCAGAATATACGTCCTCATTTTAAGCTTGGAATTGTTCCTCTAGTTAGCGGGGCTGGGTTGCATCACAATGTCTAGCTTATTGGTCTTTGGTCACTGAGTCTTTGTTCTCGTTAGCAGATTAAGTGAACTCGTAATAGCTTGAGACCTAGCAACAGAAGACTGCAGTTAACACGAAACTGCTTTGACAAGACAATTCACATAAATTCTTATTCAAGTCATTCCTGTAGTTCGTCTAAGGTTATTGCTGATCATATATCCAAGTAAATGAGGACGGTTTAATATAAAGTCAGCATTTCCATAGTTCAGAAAGCAACGTCACTAAAAATATGCCAAACACAAGAAACAAATTATAGCATACGAACTGTGACCTGGAATTTAAAGGATGTTCTTGCACCACAACTGTGATGGTTCATGGCGAGGCCTGAACGCCAAAGTAGGAATGTATAACACCGGCTTTGAAAATACCATGGGACTAAGAGAAATAATTGGAAATGGAGAGAGATCTGTAAATCCGTGTGCATTCAACAAATTAATTATAGGCATCACAACATCCCCACACAAGTGCATTCACAAAGCTACACGGATCTCACCGGATCACTCTGCATTGAATCAGACAGATCAAGATAAAAAGAAACAGGAAGAAACCAATCAACAACAGCCGAACAATAACATAGGAAATGAAGGCCCGAGCTGAATAAAAGGAAGCAAAATAGCAAGTGAAGAGGAGCATTACAGCCAACAAGCAAACGTACGTGGAAGACCCAGCAACGAGAGCAGATAAAGCTGTAGCTGCAAAAAACATGAAACAACTATACGAAACGACAAACAAACTGGCAGGAAAATATAGAAAACCAGGGTGACCGGTAAAGGACAAAGTAGTCAAGCCAATCAATGAGATTCAAGATCAGAAGAATAGATGTGTGTGAAAAATGACACAGTTATTCAGTGTTTGACAACGCTTCTACCAGTTACACCTTCTAATATGATTTGTACACACCGAGAGAAATCAAAAGACAGAGTCGAGGAGATCGGAAGAGTGTATTTGGAGATAACCAAAATATCGGAATTCTCTGATCTAATCTGGCTAGCGATTGCGGTTGATGTTTAGCACGGCGTTACCACACGTGATCTGGTGCGGATGCCTGACCGAGCGCCTTCAGCTAGATGAGTCCACTAAAACATATGGTCAGCATCCAATGTCGAAAACTTACAGGTCTATTTATTTTGAGAATTTATTTACCGCTACAGATCACCCCCCCCCTAGTGTGTTAGTGATGACCCTAAGACGTGGCCAGCCAGAAGTTTAAACATTCTTCTGATAGCTTGCTAGGATTAGCAGCGTCTGGTCGTCTTTCCTTACTATATAGGACCGAGGTACAACATAGTAAAAAAAGAAAATGTACAATGAAAATTTCAGTTCCTTATAAACGTCATCGTTTTTTTCCTGCCAGCCTGGAAAAGAAAAAAGAAAATGTAAGTGCATGTCGAAATACACTCTTATGTGTGTAAAAACACAATGTCGGCGAAAAAATTGGAATGTAAACTAATTTACACGTAATATCGTTAAAAAAATTTGTCTTTTTTGTTTTTTTTGGAATAAAATGTCGAGTAGTGCTTTACGTGCAGTAGTCGTTTAAATATTCTGGAAATCTAACTCTTCTTCCAGAATGCGTCGTTTTAGGTTTATTTTCAGATACTGTCGAAGTATCATCGTGTGTGCTGGTTGTCGGTTGAGGAATTATGAGTGTAGGAGTCGTGTTGTGCGATTGTACTGAAGGAAAATCGACGTAGATAGGATTTCCTTCTAAATATGCTGCTTTGAGGCGATCGATGATGATGCTATCGTTGGTTCCGTTCTTATCGATTATATAGTACTTCGGTTCGCGTTGAAGAACTTTGAAAGGTCCTTCGTATGCTGATTCGAAAGGTTGTCGATGCGAGTCTCGATGAATGAAAACGTGTATACTATATCGTAAGTCAGGTTGAACAAAAACATCGGTTGATTATGGTCGAGTGGAAGCAGGTTTAACTGAACGCATTGCGTTTGTAAGCCTGTTCGTGTAGGAGGTTAGATCCATGTTCATTGAAGAGGATGAAGGACCCACGAATTCTCCTGGAAGTCGAAGTGTCGTTCCATAAACGAGTTGAGACGCAGTGTCTCCAATGTCAGCTTTCACTGCATTGCGCATACCTAGTAAAACAAGTGGAAGAGCGTCGGTCCACTGTGAAACATTTGCAGCTGATAGTAAAGCTTTTAGTTGTCGGTGAAAGCGTTCTACCAACCCGTTTGCTTGTGGGTGGTAGGCAGTCGTTCGGAAGCGAGTGGTTCCTAAAAGTGTGGTCAAATGACGGAAAAGATCAGATTCGAACTGACG